ACCACATTAACCTTATTACCATGTGGTATTTACCATATATTCACCACAGGAACCCTATATTTACTTCATATTGTAATTACCACATGAATGCTATTACATGATCATATGGTGTTCACCACATAAATTCTAATTCCATACGATATATACCACATGAGTGATATTACTATATGGTATTTACCACATGAATCCCATTACCTTATATAAATTAACCATACAAATCATTATCATATGATCTGATGTGTGTGTGTGACAGTTAAAAATACTAACACAAAACATATTGCAAAATTAATTTTGATGCCACCTATTTAGTGAAGGTGACACAAACAGGCACAATATGTTTTTCATATTTTTTTTCTCGATTATTTTGTGTAACAACAAATTTTATAAAAATGTGCTAAATTTTACACCAAAATTAACACCTTATTTAACTTTTTTTTTCAGGATTAAAGAAATTTTCGCAAGATAAAATGGCGATGACTTTTGCTTTTGTGGCTTTAATGAGCTGCTTGGCAACATTCACATATGTCGTCATGACGTCTGGAGACGGCAACGAAGTGTTAGGTTCAGTACAAAGAACAGTTCTTGAATATGAAACTACGAAATATCAAATAAACAACCAATAAAGAGTACAGAGTTATCAGAGAACACCAGTGAAGATTACAGAGTTATCAGAAGAACAACCGGTAAAGACTGACCAAGAAACTGACACATCGCAGGCAGCTAAAACAAGAAAAAGAATTTTTCTACAATCACCAATGGGGAGAAAAATACAGGGCATTTTTGTCAGACTTCAGCATGAGAAAGAGAACATGACAAGTATTGTCCATGAAATGGGGCTCGACAAATCTGTGCTGGATAGATCTATAGTCAATTGGGGTAATGTCATTAGGTTAAAAAGGGCCTTTAGGGAGGTGATTGAGACGGGCAGAGTTCTAAAAATAGGTATTATGGGCGGATCAGTATCTGCTGTTAATGTTTACCCACGTCTTTTGGAAAAAGCGTTGAAACGAATCTTGGATTCGGATGTTAGTATCTATAACGGGGCTATCGGGGCGACTGACAGTCAGTACTACGCCTACTGTATGAGAAATCACTTAGACACTCAAAATCTTGATATCATTATATGGGAGTTAGCAGTCAATGATTTCCTGAAAGGAGTCAGTCCCTCAGGACAAGAAGAAATTACACGTCAAGTCATAGAGTTGCCAAACAAGCCGCAGTTGCTTTACGTCAATTTTCTGTTTGGTAAACAAATTGCTAAAAAATCATGCAATAACAGTGAAGATACTGGTGGTCGTGAACTAAGCATGTACTATGCTGTACCTTCGATCAGCCTCAGTAAAGCTGCCTGTAGAAGAATAAAGGCTGGAAAAGCAGATGACTTGCTTGGCGGAGTTAACAAAAACCATCTCTCATCGAAGGCGCATTTACAAATGGAGTTATTCTTGAGGTATTTTATGGTGAATGTTCTGTCAAATGTCACTTGGGAGATCCTGGAATCAAAGACAAGTTTGTCATCAGAAGTTATGACTGAGGTTGAACACGTGCCAGGGCCGTTACCACCAACTTATTTCATGGATACGCGCGTAACAAAGCCAAAATGTTGGTCAGCATTGCTCCCACAGTTGGGTATTGGTGAATATCTTTGGCCAATCAGAGCAGCCGATGGATGGGACAAAGTACCAGTTCATAGTGATTCTGGTGATCGTAAACAAGTTTGGGTCGGCAGTAAGAATGGCAGTGTCATCCGGTTTCCAATTAGCATAGAGCCTTATGAAAACCTCACCAGTAAACTTGCTATATCAACGTTCACATGTGAGAATTGTGGATCAGTTCGGGCGATTGTTGACAATGACTTTGCTCGAGCAGCTACTATCAGTGGTAGAAGTCAGCATCGAATCACATGGCCAACAGTTATTGCCACCGACCTTGAACCAGGAAGTCATAACATCACTATAAAATGTCTCAGTGATGATCCATTCCACTTGGCTGCTATAGCAACAGCCTATGACCTCACAACACCATTGTCAATCTTCACATGAAGAAAATATAGTACAAATTTAGATTCGATTAAAAAAAAAAATTCAAGTTCCTTGTCATCTTGTACATATGGTGTAGGATTTGTTCTGAATTTGCAAATAAAATTAAAAAAAAAATCATAAAATCAAATCAAAGAGAGCTTAAAAAGAACTTCCCTGTGCTGAGAGTATTGGAGACATATTAAAAATTAATTACCTTTCCAAACAAGAAGCTTTGCAACTAATATTGGTACAACGTAAAAACAATGTGAACTACATTATTGAAGTTTATAACACTTGTAAAACAATACATTTGATTTTACATTTGTGGTTTACAGTCAAATTTATTCCATAGCACCTTTACCACAAGTTCAATTTGAATCTGATTTTTTGAGATATCAAAAATTGGCTAGCTAATAATTAGACAATCAATAGACATGTATTTCATTATTAAACTAATGTCTGTGGATTATCTCAGAGCATCCAGAAACCAAATTTCAATGAAACATGATTATGCACATTGTTCAAACTGACAATTAGTATTTCAATCCAAAACTACTGCACTGTTTACAGGCACTCTATTACAAAGTCTTGTTGAAATGCAATTATTTATTTTGGAAAAAAATATGATAGATGTCGACCCCAAACTACGTATATACTGGGAAAAGGGGGGGGGGGGTAATTAGGTGTATCTGTCTATTGTTCCACATATGTACATATGTTTCATTATAATATGATGATTAATTCTTAAAGAAAAATCGAAGAAAAGCCCAAAAAATTATTATTATGCAAATTAGGTAATTAGGTATGGATGTATATAATTATGGAAATTGGGTAATTAATATGGATATTTACCCAAATCCTTATCAGGTCTGTGAATTGTCCTATATGACATCTATGTACCAAGTTTCATTGTAATATGATGATTAGTACTTGAGATAACAGTGTAAAAGCCGCAAAATTTACTAATCATTATGCAAATTAGGTAATAAATATGCGCATTAGCCGAGAGCATCTATGCATCATTAAAAACCCACATATGGTTCTTGTGGTATCAATGGAACAGTTGCGTGCACACATATACATACAGGCACACTAACTGCAAAAACTCCTATTGTGTGCTTTACACACAGGAGTCAAAAAATGAGCACCTGCTTTATTTTATCAGTGAGTAAGGAACACAAACTGAAAATGTCAATAATCTACAGATAAAAGAAGATGAATTCTGAAAAAATTGATAAATTCTAAATATAATCTACTGGTATGGTAGCTGTAATGAGAATGTATGTACTGTAATTTAAAATACTTTATTTTCGCTGAAATTAATTTTCACTGATTGTTTGATGAGTTGAATGTAAAATATAGGAAAAAAGGTATATTTGCTGGATTTTATTTTCACTAAATTATTCCTTCAGCGAAAATAGCAAAAATTAATTCCAAGCGAAAATAAAGTATTTTACAGTACTTTTAAAAAAACTGGTTGTCTGTCATATATACCCGGTACCCCCACCCCCACCCCAAAAATGGATAACTTAACACCCTAAAAATGAATCATATTTTGTAAACTATTTAATTTTCGCTGCTAGGAAATTTGATTTTATAGGATTATGTGAAGACAACATTTTGCAAAAGTCACCAACACTCCCCGCGTAGGACCCCAGAGAAAATGTTTTGATTTACACAGACTCACAAAATTTGACTCTTGTGAAATTAAAAAGGTTCACAAAGACTGATGTAAAGATCTCTATATTGTATTACTACAAATCCTTGGGATATTAGAAAAGGAAATTTCTATAGGTCAATTAATCAACTGGTACTATAAAATCCAGCTCATATTTTATTTTTAAATATTGAAAATGGCAAATTTTGTAGATTTGGTCCAAAATTAAAAACAAAATTACAGAAAAATGTTGCACAAAAAATTTTGGCGGGAAAATGTAGGTTGCATGCAAACTACATTGTAAATATTTGAGAATAAAAATCACTTTTGTTTACAATAACAGACGCAGCATGTTGCAGGTGGATAAATGAATAGCTTTTCATGTGGAATAATAAAACAGTTAGGTCAGTTTATTATGTAGATATAAGGATCCAATGAAACGAATGACAAGCTTATTTTAATTTAATCAGATTGTTTATTGTATAGTCTTATATCTAAGTATGTGAGTTCATATATTATAAACTACATTACAGTTAACTCATCACCTGCTAAAAACCCTCCACAGAGAGCTGATTTAAATAGTGTATAATGGCGTCAAATCAAATCTAATCAGCTGATTTAAATAGTGTATAATGGTGTCAAATCAAATCTAATCAGCTGATTTAAATAGTATATAATGGCATAAAATCTAATCAGCTGATTTAAATAGTATATAATGTCAAATCAAATCAGCTGATTTAAGGTGTATATAATGTTGTCAAATCAAATCTAATCAGCTGATTTAGATAGTATATAATGTTGTCAAATCTAATCAGCTGATTTAAAGTGTATATAATGTTGTCAAATCAAATCAGCTGATTTAAAGTGTATATAATGTTGTCAAATCAAATCAGCTGATTTACATAGTATATAATGGCATAAAATCTAATCAGCTGATTTAAATAGTATATAATGCATAAAATCTAATCAGCTGATTTAAATAGTATATAATGTTGTCAAATCAAATCAGCTGATTTAGATAGTATATAATGTTGTCAACAGATGATGTGTTAACACTCTGAACACCAAAGTCATTTTTTGTTAATTTTTTCAGAAAATAAGGCTAATAATTATTTCCAGATTTTTTCAGTAAAATTGATCTAGTATTGGGGAAACTATAACCAGTAAATAAATTATATGTGCAATTTGTTGCAACAACATTTTATTTGAGAGTTTTCTAGCTTTAACCTTTCCACCACCAGAAGTCCTCGCTCAAATTATTCTGCACATTTTTTTTTATTCAATATTTCTGGAAATGCACAGTTTATACTCAAATAATTTGGCTATTTTTGTCCCAATCTTCTGAAGGAAATTACAGACTATAAACGGAAACTATTTTGTAAAGAAAAGAGGAAACTGGAAGTAAAAAGGTTAAAGTTTCAGATACCTTGTACCTGTAATTTATACTTTAAAGTTAAAATAAAATATACATGTTCATGGATTTTGGAAAACACAGCACTATTTTCTTCTTCTTTTTTGCTTATATATACTGTATATATTCTTCCTATGAATGAACACTTGCGATTGGATGATGACATTTAATTTATTTGATCCAGATACTGTTAACTGATTTAATTTTATGATCGAGGCAAGAGAAAATCATGAAATATGTGTGATGTTTGAAAAGAATTGGTCCAGGGGTGTCCAAGATACAGCTCTGGATGCATGCATGCACATATATATGCATGAAAACTAAACTATAAGTCCTGCCGGTCACTGGTAGCCTAGTGGTTATTGCACCAGACTCATGATCGGTAGACCC